CAGGTGCGTATCGTATCTCATAATGTGTTGACAGACGTAATTTACTCAGTACTAACTTGTGTATGCTGATAGCTGGTAACTTGAGAGTTTCATTATTTAGCGTTAGATTACTTTATTATGAGGAGGATCGGTGTCGCGTCCGAGGCTCTCGAGGGCAACGTAAATGTATTAAATAGATAATAATAGTTCTATGGTGGGCTAAAACAATGTTCACAAACAGCATTGCTTCTGTAAAAAGATCTGTGTCATAAAATAAACTGCTCTTTACGCCTGGAAAAATCAGTTGCCCACCATTCACCAAAACATACGGTCAAAAACGCGGAAATAAACAATAACAGCAATCCAGAGTGTCCGTGTGGCATTAGCATTAATTAAATTAATTGTTAATATAATTAATTTAATTAATGGGGGCGACAGTAGCTCAGTTGGTAGAGCATTGGCCTTAAGGCCAGAAGGTTGTGGGTTCAATTCCCACCTCTGCACCTTCTCCACCGACTCCCACTGATGACTGCTGTCGTTGTGTCCTTGGGCAAGACACTTAACCCCACTTTGCCCAAAGCCCCCACTGAAAGATCAAGGCTATGCTCACACTCAGAGAGCAGCCGTCCTCCTGTGGACTCACCACCTGCAGAGGGTCAGTGAGGGGCTGGTGCTATGAGACTTGGGTGGCATCTCTGACTGCCACCCCCCTGACCCAGAAATGGATTAAAGGGTAGAAGATGGATGGATGGATGGATTAATATAATTAAAATAATTAAATGGAGCTCCAACTGGTATTAAATCTAAAGTTTTTGAGAAATGTTTGCATTGCTTGTTAATTTTTGCTGCATAATTTGATCAAATATGTAAAACATGTCCGTAGCACGTTAAACTGTGGTGCCATTGTATTAATATACAATTATTTGCTCAAAAGTTGCCCTTTTTTTCCAATTTGCGTTTGAATATCTACATTTATTCTCATTCTTCTGTTTAATGGAATGCACAAACACAGCAGCGTGCCATCAAAGATGGCGTCTCCGAGGAGGTCATGTGACATTCATTGGTCTGTGGGAACTATGTATAGCAAAAGACATGCACAGGGAAACCCAATGCACTGTAAAAAACCACTCATTTATCTGCCCTGTTAATTGAGTGTATTATGTTATAATTTCATGCATGCATTTATACCTATTTCTTATATCACTTGTTTTGCACCAAAGCAAATTCCAAAGTTTCTGACTCGCTGTTTCTTACTTTGGCAATAAAAAAAGATTCTGAAGAGTGGAAGAATTACAATCATACAAGTAAAAATATATATAGTCAACGCTCATTAATCCCCATCTTTTTAATGCACTACACAGAATAGCTCAGCTCAATAACCAACATTTGTTCAGTTGTTAGGGCAGCTGGGTGAGAGTTTATTGGAGGGGAGCAACTGGTCTCACCATTGGACCCACTTCACACCCTGGCTTGTGTAATGCATCTCACTATGTAGGGAAAAAAATCATACATCATCAACAATAACATCAAACAATAGCTAATTTAAAAATATGTGTTTAATGTGCATCAAACATCTGATGTTGGAACTTGTAATCACCCAAAAAAAAAAAAAAAACATTGATTGTAATGTTTGTATAGTATGTGTGTGGTTGTGTATGCATGTCTGTGTAGGTGTGTATGTATGTAAATGGGGTATACATTTATTATATAGATAATGTTGACTGTTATTTATTAATAATAAATATTATATTATATTATATTATAATTATTATTAATAATAGTTATGTGTGTATATGTATGTGTGTGTATATGTATGCATCTTAATTCTCTAAGAGGTGAATGATTTATTATAGTTGAATCTCTTTTCTGTTGTTATTGTCACTGTTGTTCCTGTGGTTTTTGTGATTGTTTAATTGGTTGGTTTATCGATTTACTTTTGTTTTTTCTCCTCTTTGTAGTCCTTTTGCAGATGGTTTTACTGTATACCGTTTGTCACTGTATTACATCTTGTATTTCTGTCATTCTTACCCCATTTAGGTTAATACCAATGTAACCGCGCACACACGCACACACGCACACACGCGCGCACGCACGCACGCACACATGCGCACACGCACGCACACACACACACACCTAAATTCAGTTATATTTATATATTTGTTTAAGTCCTTTCTATAACTAATATTATTGTTTGCTTATTGACTGTCCCTATGTATATGTTTACCTGGTGTGTAAATAAAAAGTAAAAAAATATATAGATGTAATTAAATTTGTGGCTAATTTAAGGCTGAATTATCCAAGATCCTGCCTGCTAATATAAAACTAAAGTGTTAATGGATGAAGGAGTCAAAGTGCAAAGACTGCAGTTTAGATTAAATGTGTTTTATCCAATAATCTTGTTTGACTATAAAAAGACCTCAGCTTTCTCTACCTTAGACCTGAGAGTTCAAAGTGCACTTGGCGAAATGAAACAAAACCTAATCACAATAACACAATGCTTTTCTGATGAACTCGTGTTGCAAATGTCATGATTCAGTTTTGTGTCGATCTGTTCCAGGGGTGTCAAACTTATTTTGGTCAGGACCGATAAAAAAAAAAAAAGGAACTGGTCAGGGGGCAAAAGATGATTGTTTTTTTTATTATGAAGGTATTTTGAAAAGAGTTTCACTTCTTTCTGGTGGATTTTTCTGAAATTACAATCAATCAAAACTGGATTAATATAATTAAAATAATTAAATGGAGCTCCAACTGGTATTAAATCTAAAGTTTTTGAGAAATGTTTGCATTGCTTGTTAATTTTTGCTGCATAATTTGATCAAATATGTAAAACATGTCCGTAGCACGTTAAACTGTGGTGCCATTGTATTAATATACAATTATTTGCTCAAAAGTTGCCCTTTTTTTCCAATTTGCGTTTGAATATCTACATTTATTCTCATTCTTCTGTTTAATGGAATGCACAAACACAGCAGCGTGCCATCAAAGATGGCGTCTCCGAGGAGGTCATGTGACATTCATTGGTCTGTGGGAACTATGTATAGCAAAAGACATGCACAGGGAAACCCAATGCACTGTAAAAAACCACTCATTTATCTGCCCTGTTAATTGAGTGTATTATGTTATAATTTCATGCATGCATTTATACCTATTTCTTATATCACTTGTTTTGCACCAAAGCAAATTCCAAAGTTTCTGACTCGCTGTTTCTTACTTTGGCAATAAAAAAAGATTCTGAAGAGTGGAAGAATTACAATCATACAAGTAAAAATATATATAGTCAACGCTCATTAATCCCCATCTTTTTAATGCACTACACAGAATAGCTCAGCTCAATAACCAACATTTGTTCAGTTGTTAGGGCAGCTGGGTGAGAGTTTATTGGAGGGGAGCAACTGGTCTCACCATTGGACCCACTTCACACCCTGGCTTGTGTAATGCATCTCACTATGTAGGGAAAAAAAATCATACATCATCAACAATAACATCAAACAATAGCTAATTTAAAAATATGTGTTTAATGTGCATCAAACATCTGATGTTGGAACTTGTAATCACCCAAAAAAAAAAAAAAAACATTGATTGTAATGTTTGTATAGTATGTGTGTGGTTGTGTATGCATGTCTGTGTAGGTGTGTATGTATGTAAATGGGGTATACATTTATTATATAGATAATGTTGACTGTTATTTATTAATAATAAATATTATATTATATTATATTATAATTATTATTAATAATAGTTATGTGTGTATATGTATGTGTGTGTATATGTATGCATCTTAATTCTCTAAGAGGTGAATGATTTATTATAGTTGAATCTCTTTTCTGTTGTTATTGTCACTGTTGTTCCTGTGGTTTTTGTGATTGTTTAATTGGTTGGTTTATCGATTTACTTTTGTTTTTTCTCCTCTTTGTAGTCCTTTTGCAGATGGTTTTACTGTATACCATTTGTCACTGTATTACATCTTGTATTTCTGTCATTCTTACCCCATTTAGGTTAATACCAATGTAACCGCGCACACACACGCACACACGCGCGCACGCACGCACGCACACATGCGCACACGCACGCACACACACACACACCTAAATTCAGTTATATTTATATATTTGTTTAAGTCCTTTCTATAACTAATATTATTGTTTGCTTATTGACTGTCCCTATGTATATGTTTACCTGGTGTGTAAATAAAAAGTAAAAAAATATATAGATGTAATTAAATTTGTGGCTAATTTAAGGCTGAATTATCCAAGATCCTGCCTGCTAATATAAAACTCTAAAGTGTTAATGGATGAAGGAGTCAAAGTGCAAAGACTGCAGTTTAGATTAAATGTGTTTTATCCAATAATCTTGTTTGACTATAAAAAGACCTCAGCTTTCTCTACCTTAGACCTGAGAGTTCAAAGTGCACTTGGCGAAATGAAACAAAACCTAATCACAATAACACAATGCTTTTCTGATGAACTCGTGTTGCAAATGTCATGATTCAGTTTTGTGTCGATCTGTTCCAGGGGTGTCAAACTTATTTTGGTCAGGACCGATAAAAAAAAAAAAGAACTGGTCAGGGGGCAAAAGATGATTGTTTTTTTTATTATGAAGGTATTTTGAAAAGAGTTTCACTTCTTTCTGGTGGATTTTTCTGAAATTACAATCAATCAAAACTGGACCAAATATAAAGTTAAACACAATGTTTTATAATTAACTATTTAACTAATTGCCTGCCAGCCATTTTTGAGGATTTTCCCTGATTTTCAAGACCCACAGAATATTGTGTGTACTATGTCTATGTGAAATCTGACTGGACTGACAACTTTCGTCAGCCAAAATAAGTCGTTTTCTAACTTGTTTCGTTCTCCTGTAATCCCCAGTCCAGTAGAGGGAAGTTTGAAAATAATTCGAGGCCAGTAAAAATATTCTGAGTTTGACATGCCTGATCTATTCCCATCAATCTTATTTCAAATAAGGTCATAATTGTCGTTTTTGTCACAGTGCTGAATCCTTTGATGCTGTGTTTCCTGTAGAATCGGATGCACGAGAGCATGAAGCTGTTCGACTCCATCTGCAACAACAAGTGGTTCACAGAGACGTCCATCATCCTCTTCCTCAACAAGAAGGACCTGTTTGAGGAGAAGATCACACTCAGCCCACTCTCCATCTGCTTCCCGGAGTACACCGGTAAATCCATACACCATTGTATACCTCCATCTCATCTGTCAGAGACGGAAAAGTACTACTGCGAAAAATCCATTTGACACTAAAGCGTCTTCCTTAGGCCCTGTCCACACGAAGTCAAGCTCAGGCCTAAACGCAAAAATACTTTATCAATCCAGTGTATCGTCCATACGAGGCCGGCGTTTTGGGGGGGTGTAAACGAACATTTTTGAAACTAGGTCCCAGAGTGGAAAGATTTCAAAACTCCGTATATGCCGCTCCGTGGTTACTGCCTCTCCGCAATGTATCTGAGACGCTTGCGTCATCGCCCCGCCTCTTGTTAAAGCACGCATGCGCCGCACTCAGAAAATAATAACAACAATGTAGCTTGTTGGTTTTGTAATCCAGTGCGACCCGAAGCAACAGTTCAACCTCATCGTCCGTCCATACTAATGTAGTACCAGCTCGCCCACTCGCCATGTTGTCTGTTTACAAAATTCCGCGCATGCCCACGGAAGTTTGGGCTTGATCCCGTCATTGCGTCACAGCGCCACCAACAGGTCTGGCATAGTTTCACAGCGTTTTCAGGCGTATTGACTACATTCATATGGACGCACACATTTACTGAGCTAACTCCGTGTTTACAGAAAAAGTTTCTGAAATTATAAGCGTTTTGTCTTCGTGTGGATATAGCCTTATATTGCTGCACATTTGTGGAAGGATGTTTCATGCCATTACAATTTTAATCATGTAATGTAGATACTTATGTTTGCACAACTTAAAATGTGCCAAACATTGTTGATATACGGATATGGAAATAAAAGCATTTCATTTATTTAACCAAGAGAACTTCATTGAGATTAATAATCTTTTCTCAAGAGTGTCCTGGACAAGAAGCAACACATACAACATAAAGTATGAAAAGCTACAATAAAAGCTAAAAGATTGAGATGACACATAACACCAATAAAACACCAGAAAATAGAAAAACTATTTCATATAAAATTGGTACAATGCACAGAATGTTCATCTAAAACATTCTGCCATCTTCTAAACCATACAAGCATCGATCAGGACTTAAATTTGTGAACATTTTTCCCTCCCGACATCAGTTGCCAGTTACATATTATGAACTAAAATGGAACCCGTTGATCCTGTGGCCTCAATAGTTTTTGTGGTGATCATTGGTTTTGTCGACTGTAGTAAACTCAACGATTGACAGGAGAAAGTTATGTTCGTGAAGTATAACTTGAGACATGTTTACTATAATAAACATTAAAAGATCGTTAAAAAATTTGAAAAAAGTGGAACTGCACTCTCCCTGACCCAGGTTGCCAGATACGCCCAGATGGATTAGTCTAATCCATCTGGGACCATAATCTGAAGAGTTTTGTCAACAACAAATCTATAACAAACATCTTTTTCACAAAAATAGAAATCCTGATTTTATTCCTTGTTTTTTCATGATTTGAGAATCATAATGAGACCTTTTTTAGTTTTGCTGCCACATGTTACTTTAAGATTAAGAGATCCTTTATTCGTCCCACAGTGAGATTCGTTACCAGTGAGATTAGCTTGAGCGTGAGTTCTGGCAACCCGGGTCCCGGCTTTTCTGATTGGTGACTCAGTGGAGGGCGAGACATCGAAATAAAAACAATAACTATATTTAGAAGCTGTAAAACAAATTTTGAAATCCAAATATCAGGGCTGAACTACTGTTATCAATTAAAGAAGTCATGGAAAAGAACTGTTTTATGAATGCATTTTGACAGATTAGGGCCAAATAATGCTGACTTGACATGAAAATCTTACACATTGGTACTTTAAATAATAGCGGTGAATTGACAGATGGGAGCTCCAAGATAAACTCTCCCCAACTCCATTTTCTGTGTTATTACCATATTCTGTTGAACATGTTAAAATCTGCACACAGGAGCGAACAAGTTTGACGAAGCGGCCAGTTACATCCAGACCAAGTTTGAGGATCTGAACAAGAAAAAGGACACAAAAGAGATTTACACTCACTTCACCTGCGCCACCGACACCAAGAACGTGCAGTTTGTGTTCGACGCCGTCACCGACGTCATCATCAAGAACAACCTCAAGGACTGCGGCCTCTTCTAAAGGTGCGGCTTCACACACCAGATACCAGAACGGCTTCAGGCGCTTCAGCCGTTAAAGTGAATGTCTGCTACTTTTTGATCACACTAGATCCACAGAGGAGGCCCCTTATTGCCATTAACCCAACTATTCCTCTCCGTGGCAAAACCACCACCACCAAAAAGATTTACTGTGTATTAGATATGTTTTATTTAAAACTGTCTTTCATTCATTCATTCATTTTTTTTTTTATTATTACTGACTCTCACTTCATATTAGAGGAAGGAATATAATGAGAAATCGACATCACAATAGATTTATAGTTGTATGTATATTTTTTAACAGTCTAATACATATTGTTTCAATACTTGTAATGTTGCTGATGACAAAACCCATTCAATGCTATCGGTTGCATAATAATCATAATAATAATAATAATGGAGTGCTTTTAGGCTGGTCGTACCACACCATAGTAAAAATTACATTTCGTACTAAGGGTTAGGGTTACATGTAGGGAAATTATGATTGAGCGGAGTGTACGGTTGGCTAAGGCCAGGCTAGACTGGTTTGTGTCATCCATATATATCCACCTGATTGTAGTAACGAGCACACAGCAACATCACAAGTATTGAAATATGTATTAGACTGCACCTGATGTAAAAAATGTATAAAGTATTGTTTCAAAACATGTAAACTGACATAAGTGACTCTTGTGGTTCACTTGTTTTACGTTATCTTTTTGACCCCAACAATAACCCCAGATTTGGTCTCATTTTCACGATCCAGTGTGAAAACTAAATGTATTCTTCTCTCGTCTCTCTGCAGGACAACAGCTGGCACACGGACTGCACAAGAGGCTGCGAGAACCATGAGACGATTACTGCTTTTCATAATGAAAACCATAGACTTGACTCCGAGAGGGGAACCATCCACACGTTTCACCATATCCACTCACTCGTCTTACTACGTTATGTTTAGATGTTCTTTATCAGCTCGGTGCCTGTAAATAATGGATCACAATCAAAGCCCTGACTGGACAAAAGCCAATTCATGACAGCACATGATAAAAACAACATAGCCAACATAATCCTTACAAAATGCTGGGTAAATTATTTTCATTTAAATGCTATATCAAAGATGAACGTGTTAGAAAGCCGAGAATCGCGCAAAATGCAATAGTCGTTTTTAATATTTGATTATTATTATTGTAAACATCCATTTTATTTCCCTTTTTTTTATTTACAAATATATTTTTAATTAACATCACTTGAATTGATTGAGCGTTGTCGTTTTAGCTGAAACTGCACAGGTCCAATTTTATTTAAGAGTTGACGAAGGAAAAAAATGCATGGAGAATGACAGCGGCGCGCAATGAACAATTTTCTTTGGGAGACCAATGATCGGAGTTGTACAAAAGCGCATCGTTCTGCATGAGCTCCCTCGACCATAACGAAACCCCTCAAACCAATACATTCCTACTTTAGAAAGAAGAAAAAATCGTAGTGTCACTTTTACTATATCTGCAAGGTTTTATTCAGTCCGTCTCTTTAACATTTCTGTATCCAGTAAGTTTCTCTCATTTGACCAGTGTTTTAACATGTTTGTGCCTTGATATCTGCGTTTACACTCGTTCTTTAGACATGCTATGTTCATATAGTGTGAATTAGGGCTATTTCTACTCCACTGGGTTCTCCACATTCACACGAGTTTGAAATGCGCCACAGCAGCAGCAACAGCAGCGACAAGCGGACGGAGACGGTGCAACGTGGTCAAACTGAAATTCACTTTGTTCATTGTAAATAAACACATGATTGCAAAACGTGTGAGGTTTGTTTCTTAAAGCTCATTGCCTGCCAGCCCATTTCAGAACAGGTACTCCCATGTTGCCAGCAGTTTCTGAGGATTTGTATTGATTTTTCAAGACCCACAGAATAGTGTTACTATGACTATCTGAAACCTTAACCAGATTCTGAAGGAATGGACTGTCTACTTTCATCAGATAAAAGAATTTTGTTTTAAGCTTGTTTCGTTCCCCTGTAATCCCCAATCGAGTAGAGGGAAGCTTTACTGAGCTCACCAGTCTCAGACAAAAACCTATTTGCTTTGACGTTTTTGTGCGTCCATGGCAGACCACAAGTTCAGCAGTATCAACAACAATGTGAAATGTACAGTATCTGTTAGTTTGTGACGGCCGAACCAACAAAAGCAGACGGCTGTTGGCAATGATATAAGTTAAAGTGAGGATTTAGAATAATGTCCAAAAGTTTCCGGTTTAGAGATTCTTTATTCATCCCACGGCGAGGAAATGTCAGTGTTGCATCAGAGTAGGAATGAGGAGCACACAGCAACAGCATCAAATCTCTTGCTTTACTGTAATAAAGAATGTGTAAAGTTGTTTATTAGTGCAAGATTTGTATAACTTAAAATATGAAACCAATTAACCTTAGTTTCATTCTTTATTTGTTCTAATGCTGATTATTGGCTGTTTATAAAAACCCCGAATAAAACGTGTGCCTTACAATCCAAAATTAATCCTTAAAAGTTTACCAATGGCTTTGACCACCTGTTTGCATGTAATGAGTCTACCATGTATTTGGGTCACATTTTTAAGTTTAATTACATAAATTAACTGAACTATTCTAATTTTCACTATAGAGTTTCACTTCTATATATTAAATTAAATATACAACATTAAAGGATTGCACAAATGCACATGTCTGAAAGTACTCTCCAATTGTTACTAAGTCATGAACATAATAAAGTGATGTTCGTTTAATAACTAAACTTTAAATTAAAATTGTGAGATGCAGCCTTTTGTTTTTGTAGAAGCATAGTTTTGCCCAATTCATAAAATAAAACTTCTGATAACGTGTTGTGTAGCAAGATGTCTTATGACATCTGCAGATTTTAAAAGCCAAACGTCTTGAACTTCTGGCTGAGTTACAATCATAAATCACACACGTTCAATACACGTTCTTCAATCAGCCATGAGGGGGCGCTATGGGGTAAGGTTACTGTCAATAAAGACGTGCATGTCTAAAAAAAATGCGTGAATATTTATTGGTATTTGTGCATAATTTATTTTTATGAATTCATGATTAAGATAATACAAACTAAAAAGACATGGAATTTCGTAATTAATAATAAAAAAATATAAAACTGTATGTGTGATTTTGTACTTGTGAATACGATTTTTTTTTGTGTGCTTGCTTTTTCTTTTTGAGAATGCGAATTTCAGCAGTGAGCAAACTGTCAATAATACGTCACTGCTCACAGACATTAACAATCGAGCTGCGCAGAGTTGATCATGGCAGAGGGCAACAACATTAACAATTTGGCTCAAAATCAGGTAAATAACTATATTTGATCATTTTGGTCGTAAATAAATGTGTAAGAAATATTAATTCCATAAAATGTGTTCATAAGATGTTTCTTGTCCCTCTCTAGAAACGTTTTTTTAGGCAGTGTTTAGTTAACACTAGCTTCAAGGCTAGTTTTACAGCTTACCATGTTATTTTAAAACCAACAATTTTACATTCTTAGCAGTTACATTTTATGAAGCCTTTGCCCCAAATCAATGTGGTTAAAGTGTTGATACCAGTCCCAACCCTCCAGATTATTCATAGTTCGCGCTGTTACTGCCCCTGAGCAATATGGAGAACACCTCTGTGCTTTACTCATCCTTGGTTGTTAGACGTAGCAGACCCTGTCCCTGTGGACCTCAATCTTATATTTGTACATTTGACACATTACTTTTACTCACTAGTTCAGTAAGACTAGTTAGTCTGTTGTTTAGACTAAAATAAATGCATTATTTTCTGTAGAATAAAACAATATAAGGATAAGAAAATAAAACTAGCATTGGAGCTAACAACACTGCCAAAAAACCTTTAGAGGGACAAGAAACATCTTATTATGAACACATTTATGGAATTAATATTTTTTACACATTCATTTACAACCAAAATGATAAAATATAGTTATATACTTGATTTTGAGCCGCTTTGTTTATGTTGTGTCCTTCTGCCATGTTTAGTTTTTAGGCAATGAAGTTGATCAACTCTGTGCAGGCTCGATTGTTAATGTCTGTGAGCAGTGACGTATTATTGACAGTTTGCTCACAGCTGAAATTCGTATTCTCAAAAAGAAAATGCAAGCACACAAAAAAAAAATCGCATTCACAAGAACAAAATCACACAGTTTTATATTTTTTTTATTCTTAATTACGAAATTCCATGTCTTTTTAGTTTGTATTATCTTAATCATGAATTAATAAAATATTTGTATGCACAAATACCAATAAATATGCACGCATTTTTTTTAGACATGCACGTCTTTATTGACAGTAACCTTACCCCATAGGGCGCTCGTAGCTTGTTATCACCCGTGGACACAGGAGGGCACCAGAGAGCTGAACGCCATCAGAAAATAATGTTCAGCGAAGTTTTGTAAAGCTACAAGCGGCACAAGCCAAGTTTGTTTTCATGTTTTTGGGACTGAGTCAATAAATGTCCTCATGATATTAGCAAGTCATGATGTTGGAGACTGAGGAGTAGGCCATAGTATCTCTGTCTTTATAACACTGACAGCCTCATGTTAACACAGGAACTCCCAGTGCAGTCAATTTGACGGCCTTTAGTAATTACTTAATGTATGTACATTTTTGGTCTTTATCATTTTGTGACTTTTCTGTCTCTTGCAGTTTATTTCTATGTCATTGAAGGGCATTTTCTTTTACTTTTGAAATCACAATTATTCTACCTTTACCTCCCAGAGTAGAGCCAATACCAGTACCCATAGTTACCATGGCAACATTAAGTTATTACCTGAGAGGACAGTTCAAACTAAAAGTACAACATGTTGGATTTCTAGAAAACGTGTGACTTTGTGGAGTAAGCTTGATGACTCTAAAAGCTTGATGACACCATTCGAAGTGCCACAAGCCACACATATAAAAACAACTATGCAAATTAAGAACCTTTATGTGCCCAGAAGGAACTCAATGAATTGAGACAATACATACTGTGCTATGCAGTATGTATTTATGTATGTATATATGTATGTATTATGCATGTCTGTATGTGTTAGTATGATATTGTGCATGTGCTCCATCCTGATATCAGTAAACTGTTCGACAGAAGGATGTGAAAGGGGTTGGCCCTGATAAGATTTTGCTTCTCCTTTTTGTGAGTTTTGCCTTGTTAATTTACTCGACTAGTATAACCTCTAACATTGTGCGCAAATTAATAAATTAATAAATTAAAAAGAACCAGTTAGTGTGGTAGTCATTCAATAAACTTATTTTTGCTGTATTTCAAGTTATAATCACCAGTTTAAAAGTGAGTAAAGTTTGAAAAAGACCTCATAAATGACTTACTTTTAAAATATCTGTCAAAAATACCTAATTTTTTTTGGGGCGATTTCTCAGCATTCCATTGGTATAAATGAGAGCAGTCAAAATAATGGCTCAGTGTTCTGGTAGGTGTCATAATTGTGGGAGCCCTGCGTGTTCAAATAATTGGTGATTACATTGGGCGTTTCCAAATCAGGGGTACGAGAACCTGGATGTTTGTTTTGTTAATTGGAATGATTTGAATCTTGATTAATTAAACATAATGGAATGGAGTAAACAAGGCATGAAAGGATCTCACACCGTTGAGGGCGGAGGGTGAATCTAAATATTGTTTTGCTTGGAATGTTCCACAATGAGCGATGGTTTTAAATATTCACATTGGAGACAAGCGAGTAACTTCACTAAAAAGTCACAGATAATATACAAAGAGGATCAGAGTAAGTAAAAAACAGCTGTAACTAAGTATATAAAAAAGTATTCTTTACTGAGTTGAATTCTAAGACAAGAAATCACATCAAT